GTGATTACAACTAATGCAGCAGCTGCATTGTCATTAGAATTTAATTATAATTTGTTTATAGAACTATTCCCTTTAGTATTAATTTTGGTTTAGTTTTGTTTGGGTTTGATGAACAATTAATAATATCTCCAGTTTTGCTAAACATAGTCATGTTGACCTGGCACTAGTGCTGGGTGATATATCAAAATTCACGATATTTAATTGATATAATGCGGTATCGATACTTATCAATATCGAAAAATTTTGAAGGAAATATCGATAACAAGACCACGCCCACAAAATGGTTACATAACCTTAATAAATAGTTAATTAACTATAGGAGTAACATTTCAAAGATTACTAAAATGTGTTCTCTTGGAAAGTAGACGAAGTAGCTGAAGTATATGAAGCCAAAGAAGGTTTTTAGAATGCTTTTCAATAATAATTGTTCTCAGAAATAGCTTTATTTAGCCGTTTTAGTAATATTAAAGTTAATGGGTGTGGCTTAATAACTTATCGATAAAAAATATCGATATTTTCATTTTTAGGTAATATTGTATCATATCGTATCGTTTCAAAATTTTCAATATCGCCCAGCACTACCTGGCATTAATAATTAGTGGGTGTGGTTTCCATATAATTGTGCAGAAAATACTATTTTAACTTTATTGAGATGGTTTCATAGCATAAAACAACAAAGAAGCCTGTTGATCTACCACAGTTTACATAGGATGTCCACACCAGAATCATGAATATAATTATTGGTCAAAAAAGTCAACCTGGGCATTGGCGCCTAATGCCCAGGCCTGCAACCGCCTATGAGTTCTGGACTAAAGACTCTGGACTTATGAGTATACTTGTAAGTGATATAGTATTATATCACTTACACATTTGGACATTTGGGGGTATTTTGGAGCCATTTATTGGAAAAAATCATGGGCTATTGCCTTGAGCCGGCATTTTTCAAAAATTGGCTCGTTCTTAAAATGATCATATACTGAAAAATAATTTTCAGAATCAGCTCAAACTTTCTACAGGAGCATAAATATGTATCAAAAAATTTTATAAAAATTTGGGATGACTTTGGAGCCATTTTCCAGAAAAATCCATCAGGTATAGTACGTATAGCCTTGGGCATTTTTCAGAAATTGGTGAATTTCAAAATGGCCGCAACTCAAGAAAATATTCATCAGAAACAGCTCAAACTTTCTACAGAGCATAAGGACATCAATATGTATCAGAAAATGTAATAAAAATTTGGGGTGATTTTGAAGCCATTTTTATGGGCTATAGTCTTGGTTATTTTTCAGAAATTGGCCAATTTCTTAAAATGGCCATATAACTAAAAAATTTGTCAGAAACAGTTCAAACTTTCTACATAGCATAAGTACTTTGATATGTATCAGAAATTGTAATAAAATTTTGAAGATTTCAGAGCCATTTTTCAGAAAAAACCATGGGCTGCAATAGCCTTGGCAATTTGGCCGATTTCCAGAACTCGAAAATATTTGTAAAAATAGCTCAAACTTTCTACATAGCAGATACCAACACACTGTTTGTATAAGGAGAAAGCGGAAGAAAGAATTTGCTAATATTATTATTATTATTTATTATTTTCTATCATTTATAGTGATCTAATTGATAATCATGGTGTGTGCATATGAGTGTTAGGTGATATTAAATTATTACCAACTGATGTACAAGAATCAGTAGCAAGAGCTGTGACAATGACTAAAAACAATAACAAGTAAGTACTTAATATTACTAATACATGTACCTGTACATGTACATTTGGTTTAGATGTTTTTCCTCATCAGGTATTACTGTGTTTGCTAAATTACCACAGGTGCATGTACATTATTTATTTAATTCAAATCTTAAGTGGTTCATATGTAATTTAAGTGTTTCTATATATTTTGCCACAGTATTTTGTTACTTTTGAATTATAACCACAACATACTGGACAAGTAGAGTAGCTACCACAGAATCTATACAACAGTCACTACTGTATTCATAAGACTATACTGTGATGTGCATGGGATAAATAGCACAGTAATGTAGAGAGCTTTATCAATAACAAAATGATAAATACATTATTAATTGATACAGGACATGATGTACAATATACATGTACATGTATTTATTATTATATATTGTCCATTCCTTTATTATAGGATATATCTTAATGTGTGTTTCTCTTACGCATCAATATTTGAGATTACTGATGCTATACAGTCACTGGTTGATGGGTCTCATGATGGTACTATACTACCACCAACGTAAGTATATGTACATACATGCATCATAGTACCACTTACACATACAACGTACACATACATGTATGCTGTATAACTGTGTACATGTACTCTTTCTACTCTGCTGTGTCTGGACATGTGCATGTTTAGTATCATTGGGATTTGTCATTGATTTGTTTGTACATGTTCAATAAGACCATCTACTAACAATTAATGTACAAATACATGCGCATGTATGCTGTATGTACGGGACTCACTTTGTTGGGTTGATTTTCATTATTTTGTATAATGTGTGTGTCCTTTACTAGCTGTTTGACATTTGGCTTTGAATTGTTATGATATGATTATTGTTTTTTATTTTAGTGTGACTGGTTGACTGGTTGTATGAGTGTATGCTTGTATGTGAATCCAGTGGACAGTACATGATCATTCAATGTTACTACTTCTATTATACATACATTATACAAGTACGTGTATTTACATTATAGAGATATCAGTGAAGAATTAATGGATAGATGTCTTTATACTGGTACATGTACACCACCTGATCTTGTTATTAGAACATGAGGAGAAGTGAGATTAAGTGACTTCCTTA